GGAGGCCCACAGAACTACGTGATTAAGAAATCTTCAAGTTCGCTTTCCACCTGTAATCAAAGCACATCTTTCTTTTTTCCTAAAAAAAGATTTATTATGACCAAAGGAAATCACATTCATTATAGAAAATAGACTTTTAAAAGAAAGAAAACTTAAATAACCCATAATTCCAATGAATGGATATATTTCAGTCTTTCTTTTTATGTATTTTTAAATAAGTTCATACTTTACTGTTTTATGACCCATTTTTCTCATTTAGCAGGTTTTGTTTTCTCTATCATTTAATCTCAAACGACAGTATTTTAATGATCGCATAGTATTCCATAGTACAGAGTATTTGTTATTAAAATCATAACATAGTAGTTAACATTTACCATGGAATTAATACATGCTGGGCACTATGTTAAGAGCATTTCATGCATTATCTTTCAAAACTATACAGACTTTAGGTGTTATTATTATCCTAGTTTTATAGCTGAGAAAACCAAGGCCCAGAGAGGTTAGATAACGTGCCTAAGTCACACACTAGGTTACACAGACAGTATTAGAATTCATAACTGGCAGACTTCAGAGTTCTTCATTTTAAGTACTGTACTTTACCCTTTCTCTTAAAATGTATGTAATCAGTTCACATGATGGAGTTTTAAGTTATTTCCAATTTTTCACATTTATAAACAGTCTGTCAATGAACATCTGTGTGTGTTTCTAAAGTCATAATTATTAACTTCAGAATAATTGCCTTAAAGGGAATTGAAGAGATCAAAACCTGTATAAAATGTTAAGATTTTTGATAGATGCTTTCAAATTATTTTTAAGAAAGGTTGTACAAATTCACCTTTCCATTAGCCCAGCAGTGAGTGGGGGGAGGGGGGATATATATATTCATCTTCTTTAAACCTTTGTTGCTCTACTTTCTATTCTGTATCTTCTTGATTTTCTTTTGGAGTTAAGGAACATGTATCCTCGACCAAAGAGGTGAGAAGAGTCATTGTGTACAACCTCATACTATATGTAGATTTTGCTTGCTTCGGTTCCTTCAGCTAATTTCAAGTTCAGTTAGAATGGTAATACTTCTTTTGGAAAGCAACCTGGCAAAATGGAAAGACATGGACTTTGGAGTTAGACAGATCTATTTCTAGATCTCAACTGTGCTAATTTCTCACTTATGCTTCATTAGACAAGACATTTATTGTCCTCTAGACTTTCTTATCATCTGTAAAGCAGGAGAATAATACCTCCTTCACCGCATTATGATAAGCAGTAAGTTCATGTGAAGATGTCAGATGTGGTGCTTAATACATAGCAGGGGCTCAGGAAATGTTTCTTTTCCCTTTTTATTCCCCGCATAGTGCCTGATCCAGTGCTATACATGTAGATGGGACTTATAAATGTAGCAAATGCTTGTCGTATGAGTGAGAGTAACCCAGACAAGCCCTAGCGTGTGTGCGTGTGTGCATGCCTGAACAAAAGTCACTGCTTGGAGCCAGTGTCCCAGCACCCTAAACAAAAACACTTGTCTGAAATGCTCCCAGAATCCAAATGTCTGAGTCTGTGCTCTGTATATCTCTAGTCCTGTGATCAAATGAATAGGTAGAAATTTGAATTTTTAGTTAAGGAAAATTAGTTTCTCAGGAGACCTCTTTCCAAGCTTCACATAGCCATACAGACAGCCAAGTTCCACATTAAGCTGGTGGAGCTCTGTTCTCTGCTGAGTGGATTGGTCAGAATTCTCTGCTACAGTGAGCCCTCTCTAAGAAGTGACTGTCTCCCCAACTTTCCCTGTGAAGTGTTGACATCAACCACACACTCCTTCCTCAGGTGATAGAAGCAATGGGCAGCGGTGATGCCCTGAGCTCCACAATCTGTCCCTGTGGCTATATGTTGGGTCCTGGAGGCTCCAGCATTGTTTTCTTGATCCTTTCTTTGCTTGTGTTTCTGTCAGCCCTACATCTTAGTTACTACTTCTTTGCGGATTGTTTTTCTTGTGATTTACCTAGTGCCAGTACTATTCAACCCCACCCCACTCCCTAAACAAAAAACACAAAAGGAAAAACTTTAAGTATGGAGAAGTAAATTTTAAATGTCAAATGCCAAGTTTACCTGGAAAACTTGGAATCTTATTTCTCCTGATGGCTTTTCATGTTTGTTCTTCTAATGCAAGCTACTGTTCTTTCTTTTTTTTTAAAGAATACTTTGCTCAATCTCTATATTTTATTAACTTCTCCTTAAGAAACTGGACTTACCTTGAACTAAGGTCCAGTAAGTGCTTTTATTCTTTTCTTAAAAAATGTTTTTTTAATAAGTATCTAGGAAGCAGCCTGGCTTAGTGCTTGGGCTTTAGACAGATCTGGGTTGTCTCTACCCTGCCATTTACCAGCTGTGTAACTTTGGGTAAGTTACCCAACCTCTTTGAGCTTTTTGAGTTTCCTCATTTATAAGGTTGCTATGAGCGTTATATGACATCATGTATAAATAGTAAATGAGGTGTTGTATTCGAAGTGCCAGGCAAAGCAACCTACACATGGTAAGTCCTAATGTAGGTACCTTGGGACATTCAGGTTACAACCCAGACTTTAAGTCATCTCAGGGGGATGATGGCAAGAATCAACCATCTGAGGCAATGACTGAACAGAATCACTGCTAACTATATTCTGCACATTTTAAAAAATAATAATAAACATGATGTCAACTTTCTTTATTCTTTAGTACTTTAAATTGTTTTCTTACTTTGTTAAGCTGACTTAAACTGAAAATCAGGAATCCTCTTGAGTTTTGCTAATACTTCTGTGAACTTGACCAGTGAAGTCATAACTGGCTAAAGTATGAAAGCAAATCCAATCTTTTCACATATATTTCAATGTGGGCAAGTGCTGACATGGCCAGTGGTGGTCAAGAGGGATTGGCTTGGAACTTGAAGTCCCACATCCTACACTCCATTTTGTTTCAAAGTTGCTTTGTAACCAATGACAGGGCATATAACCACCTCCCTTTAGGGTCGTCTTCTATTAACAGAACTGTAAGGTTTAGATAATTGTTTATTAACTTTTTGAGATGTTGGAATATAAAATGCTGCCACTTTAGACAACAGTAGTCATCACTATGGAAGCACCTCGTGTCAATTGGAGGCTGGCACACCAAGTCCTTTCCCAGTTCCGTGTGTTTCCCTGGGGCATTCTGTGCTAAGCGTCACTGCAGAGCTGGGGAGAACGAGATGAAGTATAGACATTGACAGTATCTGTCAGTGTTCGCCTCACCCAGTGAGCTCATTTAAAATCACCTAGGATGCTCGTTGTTTGGATGGATCGAATCTCTAAAACCAGGTGGAAAAAGAAGCTTCTTCAATAAGATAAAAGCAAATGAGGAAAACATTATGCGTAACCAAAGCATTAGAATATAAAGTCAGTTCATATTAGATCTTTCTACTGTTTCTCCATTATTTGTTACTATTTTTTCTCCAGTAAAAAATTAGAGACCTTTTTCTGTCTAGAGCCTCAAGACTTAATGTCTCTGGGCCTTGGTTTTTCTTATCTATAAAATGAAGATGGAGATCCCTTCTTGCTTTTCTGTGGTTCTGTGCTTATACCTACCTAAAGCTTTTAGAATGTAAGTGTCTGCTGATTTGAAGAAACATTAGGAAAAAACATAGAGTCACTTGAGCTTCCCAGGAGCTGAGGAATCATCCATGTACAATACGATTCTTTTAAACAAGTTCTCTCAGTATTGAATTTTTCCTTTCCCCAAGAGCTCTATAAAAATAGTGTTTTCTTGCCAGAGACATCAAGGCCTCAGAACTACTGCCCTCCTTCTATGAACATATTATATGGTTTGTGTTTGGCTTAGGATCTTTTTAACAGACAGCCCAGCTCCATTCTGAGAGGCTGACTCAGCAGAGCTCCTCCAGCACATTCCCACTCTTTTCAGGATTAGAGTGCCCAACCTCTGCCAGCTTCCGGACAGGCGGGGGGTTGATGCTGCCTCTCTTCTCTTGTGTGTTCCCAAGGGGGAAGAGACTGTACAGTGTTGCTTCTTTGTCTGTTTTGCTGTTGGTACTTTCCAGAGCAATTTCCCAACTTCTCAGGTTGTTAGAGCTTGAGCCAAGCAGTCTCTTTTGTCCATGGCCTGGTCAGGGACCATATCAGTCCTCTTAGCAATGCTCATCTCCCCTACCCCTGCCACCCACACAGTTCCTGCGCCATTTTCCTTCCCTGTTCCCCTGTCACTGTCTTACCCTCTGCCCTGCCCTTTAGGTTTGCCAGAGAGCCTCTCTCCTTTCCTTTGATTGAAATCCTGACATAATCCCAAAGGTTTGAGGAATGAGAATCTAACATTTTATTATGAAAAATTTCAATTATATGCAAAAGTAAAGAAAGCAGTATAATGAACCTCACGTACCCATCACCCAGATTCACTAAGTTTGTTTCATCTGCTCCTCCCTACCCCAGATATTTTGAAGCAAGTCTCACATGTCATATCATTTCTAGTTTCCTTTTTAAAAAAATTCTCAACTCCTCTCAGTTTACTTGAGAGAAAAGCATAAGTTAGCTCTTGGCCAGGTTTCATTTCATTTAGCCCAGCCCCTTCTCTGGCCTCCCAAGCTACTAATCTGCTCAGAAGTAGATGTCCCTCTCCTGTTCTCCTACAGTCTTTTTTTGGTAGAATAGCTGACAGAAGAATAGGATCCAGTTCATCTGCCTGGTGAGGGTTCCTTTAGAAGATGGCCACCTAGGTGGGAAGGGAAGGCTGTTTCAAGCGTGAGGGAGACAGGGTAGGAAAAGATGCCTGAGTGACACTTCGCTGTCATGGATAAGATGGGAATACTTGTTTTTATTCACAATTACCCACTACTAACTGGGTAAGACAAACTCCTCAAAACAAAATGGCAGCTGTGATGGCAAGCTATGGCCTAATTTCCACTTTCCCCTGACCCTTTTCTGGTAACAGGTAAGGCTGTCCTCCTGTGAGGGATCTAAAGGCTTGTCCCGCCCTATCTCCCTTTTCAGATGCAGTGGCAGAATGTGGAACATGTTGGTGACCAGAGCCCCTACGTCACCTCTGTCATTCTTCACATTAAGCAAAACGTCCCCATCATCCGTGACAACCTGGCTTCGACGCGAAAATACTTCACTCAGTTCTGCATTAAATTTGCAAAGTAAGTCCTGGAACATTATCATCATTGGGTTATGCTAATGCTATACTTACTACCAGTATGCTCATAATCTAGGTGTCCCCACCATCCAGCTGGAGCTTATTCTGGTGCCAGCAGGCAGAATAATTTTTTTTGTGCCCCAAATAAGCATAATAATAAGGAATGTAGTTAGCATTAATATATTGGCCAGGCGGAAAACCAGAGGAGAGAAGGAGCAATTAGGGGGATCGTTTTATAAACTATATAAATGTCTAACCAATGTACTGTATACTTGAAACTAATTTTTTTTTAAAGTGTAATAAGAAAACTAAATGCACTGAAGTCACAGATAACAGTAACAGCAGTACAGTCATCAACCAGACCAAAGCAAAGAGAAATGAGCTGAGGGATCCTGTTATTTTTAATTATGTGGACATAACTGTGCCCCTGCCTCCCCGTTTGAATAATTAAAATTATTTTTCAGTGATTCCACATATATAAAGGTAGGAACCGTCAGTTCTGTTCCTTTTGAGCCTTCTCTTCCTCCTTCCCCGTAGTACCTATTAATGTGGCTACCAAAATTTATTCACTTGTAGATGGCCTTGAGTCCAAGGAAAGTACCAGAAATTGGGAAGGGCAAGTCAGGGAGCTGTTCTACGAAGGTTGTTGGAGTGAACACTGAGCTGCTGTTTTCCTGCCATGTCCTCACACGTGACCATTTCTGGTTTGATGTTTTGAAGCAGGGAAATAGTTTGGTCCTTTGCCAGTCAGTCAGCATCTCGCTGTAGCACTGTTTCCCCTGAGACCAGACAATGCAGAGGTCAGTGCCCCTCTGACCAGTTACCAAACAAGCACTTCGGCAAGTTCTCAGGAAAGGGCTTCAGGAAGGTCAGCCCTGTCCAAGCTACTGTGTTTAGATTGTTCTCATCCAAGTCCCAGAAGGTGATTTAGGACTCCAGGTTTCTGTCATCCCCAAATCTCTCCCCGTTTGCATTCAATTAAGTCTTTCCTCTCCTTCACAAATAAATCCCCAAGGAACAACAGTTATGGAGTGGCTTGTGGTGTCAGCTTCAGTTTCCAGTTTGTCAAGAAGGGATAGAGTGGACTCTCCAGGGAGACGTTAATGTTTGCAGTATGGCAGGTGACCCAGGAGTTGACATTTCCTTTACTCTCTGGGTGCTCATTAATGTGTGTTAAAAGCATTGCCGATAAATCACATGGTGACACTCTCCAAAACCCCTGGTAGAAACAGCATCTCTATAAAAATTTACCGTGGCCAAAAATCTCCAGTGTGGTTGTACAGGGGTCTGACTGAGCTCACGTTAAAGTGAATAAGGGATTCCTTTTCTTGGCTAGTCCCGGCATTGGCCTTACAGCCTCTCAGAGCCGTTTCATTTTATTACTAAGCCCATATTGGATGAGCTGGGAGTAGGACGGCTATCTCTCACATCTGGAAAAGTTTAACTTGTGATCTAGAAAGTGGCTTTCTGATTTAATTCGTGGTACCCTCTCATCCTTGTAGAATCCCAGTTGAAGACTTGAAACCTCAGAGGTTGGGGCTGTGAGAAGACCTTCCCCCAGCCAAGAGCAATAGCTACCACCACCTCAAGGGGCTGGAGATATGCTTAGCAGTTATTCACTACATTGCTGGACTTCTCCCCCAAAGACATGTCCCCGGTCCCTGTATTTTCCTTATGTCACCCCCAGTAGACTAACACACAGCCTGTTTGAGGGCATAACTGATGCCTACTCTAGTGTAAAGTAACTTAGTTTATAAACTGTGTGTACTCTTCCAGTTAGTCAACCTCACATTCTTGTTTGGCCTGACTCTAGTTTGAAGAATCCATTCTAAGTAGTCCCTGTTCTCCCTCCCGATCAGCAGACCTTCCCATAGATCTGATCTCTGGAGTTTAAATTCCTTTCTCTTTAACTTCCTTTCCTTTCTCACCAATGCAAAGCCATAGATGTTGTTTCTTTTTGCCTCCATTTGTTCTGTGAAGCAACAGCCTTTCCTGTTTAAACATCAAGATCGCCCTCCTCCGCCCCCAGTTGAAACTACTTTTTGAAACACAAGTGACTTCCCTCGTCCACTAAGCTGATTCTCCTCCATTCAGTAATGGAGCTAATAAGACAAATTTCTTAACAGTGGCTGGGAGGATAAAATAAGAAGTCATGTGTAAACTTCCTGATAAAGTGCTCGTACCAAGCTGACGTTCAAAAAGTGGTAGCTGCTACCATTATTATTTATTATTATTTATTATTTATTCAACATACATTCTCTTGAGAACTTGCTATGTCCCAGACACAGAATTAAATGCTTTGGCCATAATAGACATGGTCCCTATTTTCATTTGCCTTAGAGTCAAGTAGAGGGAAACTGACATGTGAACAAGTATATTAAAGTAGGTTAGGTGGTTAGCTAGAAGTCTGTGGACTCTACGTAGAATATGATGGAAAGAATATGGTGATGGAGGAAAGGCTTCATAGGAGAGATGTCCTTGAGCAGAGCCCAAGAGATGTATGTGTACTGACCCACAAGGCTGTAGAGAAGAGCATTCTAGGCAGAGGGAGCAGTATAAGCAAAATCACAGAGGCATTAAATAGCCTGCAGAATCATGGGATCTGCAAGTAGCTCAACCGGGTTAAAGCATACAGTGCCAGGGCTTAGCATGATGAGACTGAACTCAGAGAATCTAGACAATCAAGGAAGGCCTTGTCTGCAGCCTTACAAGAGTTTTAATCAGGAGAAGGTCTTGATTATATTTGCATTTGAAATAAGTCCGTTTGGCAGCAGATAGATTAGAAAGAGTGAGACTGAAGGCTGGGACACCAGTTAGGAAACAATTGAGAGCTCAAGAAAGGGCAGGCAGTAATGGGAATGGTTGGAAGGGTGGATATAGGAGTTCAGGAGAAGAGCCGGTAACTGATTGGATAGTGGGATTGAGGGTGAGGGAGCCCTCTTGAGTAATTCCCAGTTTCTGACTTAGATGACTGGGTAGATGAGATCCAGTCCACTGAGCCTGGATTCTGGAATGAGGCTGAGTCATGGATATGCTGGGGTGGATGTGCCAGTAGGCCATTCCAATAGGATGTCCAGTAGGTCGTTGGATATTAGAGTGTGCACAAGTGTACAGAAAAAGATGGAGAAATATCGAAGAGGATGGAGATCAGCAGCCTGAGAGCAGCATTTGTAGAGTGAAATGAGTGCTAGCCAGCTTTTGTCTCAGCCTACAAATCCTGCTTTATTGCCACCGTTTCTCTTTTGGCCATTAGCCCTTATGACCATCCCCCCTTCCACCACTCCCAAAACCCCACCCGCAGTCTTTAACTCTGGATCTGGCCTTGATTATAGGCATTTCTAGTTCCCACACCTTCCATTCTACATCAGTACAATCCAGTTTCCCTACTCAGGCCCTTGCAGTTTTTTTCCTAAAAATCCCTCCTGACCTATTCAAATTTAATTCTCCCTTTCCCCAAACCAGCATCATTATTGGTTCACCTAATCCAAGTTGCCCTTCAGCCCTAGGTAAATTGGAGAGATCGTATATTTTGTTCCTGATCCGACAGTTACTCCTTAACAATTATTTCCTATTTTTGCATTTAAGATCCCCTAACCACCTTATGTATATTCTACTCTCATATCTGTTAGGATTTTTGCAGCTACTAATAACAGAAGCCCTGACTGAAACAGACTTAAACAGAAGGTAAACTTTATTTCATGTAAACCAGAAGCCCAGAGTAGGGACAGATCCAAGAATGGTTGATTAGTGGTTCAGCAACATCATTAAGGACCCAGGTTTTTACGCTGCTCCCCTTAGGGCTGGCTTCATCCTCATAATGGTGGGAAAATGGCCGCTCTAGATGATATAACCAAATACAAGAATACCCTAAAGAAGAAGAGTCTTGCCCCAGCCATGCAATAAAATACCTCTAGTCTGAATGGGCCAACTTAGATCACGTCCCCATCTCAAGACCGACAACAGTTACCAAGGGAATGCCATACCCTGACTGGCTGAGGCTAATTAGAATTCACCTCTATAGAGTAGGAGGAATTAACTTTTCTTTTACATCCCAAGGCCATGTATAGCTAAATAAAACCAGGAAAGAAAAGGAAGGCAATAGATGCTGGTAGGCTACAGAAGTATCTACTTAATTCTCAGTTTCTTTATGGAAGGAAGTGAGTCCTTGAAATTTTTTCTGCAGTTCTTTACAGAAGAGAAAATAAGCCTAATTCGTCATCTCTTTTTTTATCCACAGCTCCTTCATTCCCAAGTTCATCACCCACCTCTTCAAGTGCAAGCCAATTAGCATGGTGGGAGCAGAACAGGTGAGGTGAATTTAATACAGGGCCTTTTCTTTCTGACTTTAGTCATAGACCACATACATACCTTTATAGTACAGATCTGATCTGCAGTACAATTGCTGATTTCCCCTCTTTGGGAATAGTGTGATGACCTAATAGCTTAATTCAGTTATCCATTTATTCAACAATATTTTGTTGAGCACATACTAAATTCTAGGTGCAGGGTATAACACGTGAACAAGACAGAAAAGATCTTAGCTTCATGATGCTTACATTCTAGTAAGAAGAGATAGATAATATACAATTTAACAAAGAAATTAAAAGATAATTTCAACTTAAGTATGCTAAAGGGTATAAAGCTGGGTTATGTGAAAGAATATCTTAGGGGCATGAGGGAATAATGGCTTTAGAGTGGAAGGTCAGAGAGGCTACCCTGAGAGCTGGGGCTTGAGAGGGACAAAGCGAAAAGTGTCCAGACAGAGGCTCTGTTTATTTTGGATCCCATAGTTGCTGGGGCAGAATCCACTTAAGAGTAGCAAAGAAAGGCTTATCTTTTTGGTGCTGAAAAACTCTGTTCACCTCACCCAAGATTCATTCCTGGATTAGCCCCACTCCGTTCACTTGAATTCTGTGCTTCAAGACATCTCTTCATAGTCTGTGTCACATTAGCACCGATGAGTTGAGTTACGTGCTACAGCAGAATCACCTCATTTCAGCTACCACCTATTCAGACTATTCAAAGTATGAGCAGTTTGAGTTCAGAATGAGCAGTTTGAGTTCAGAGAGCAGCTTACGCTTACTTTTAAAGAAGCAAACAATGATATTCATCCCCTAATTCTTTAAAAATACCTACTTAGATATAAACTATTTAAATACTGATCATAAATGATTCTCATATATTAAAACAAATTCCAGGCCTCTATCTGGCAGCACTTAGCGAACCTATTTCAGTTACTTTTTATATTTGAAAGAACTCGACTACGTTTTTAAGTAAGAAGGTTATATAATTCAAGGCATTTTCTGATCTTCTACCTAATTAGTCAGCTTGGTACAGGCTCAGCTCTCTCGCAGCTTAGTGACTTGCCCTCACACTGGGCTCTAGGCTGTGCTGGTCCATCATACCTCTGGAAGATGGCAAGTTGGCATATGCCCAGTGCATCATGGATCTCATGAAGCTTCAAAGCCAGAGATGTAATACCTGTGAATATCAGGAATCTCTGAATCTGATAAGTACAGTGTGTTTTTATACTCTTTTTGTGAGTGGCCTTCTAGGTTATGGAACGGCAGTATGGCGTGAGCATTAAGGTTATGGGCTCCAGAATCACGGAGGTCTGAGGCTGAATGCTGTCTGCAGCATAACTGTTTGTCCTTTGATGAGTTACTTAACCTCCCACCACTTTAGTTTCCTCATCTGTAAAATGGGGTTAATCCTACTTCTGCCTCACAGGGTAGTTACGAGGATTAAACAAGATAATGACACAAAATCTGGCACAAGGTAAGCCCCCAACAAATGCCAGCTCTTACTAATTTAAGCTTCTTCAGACCAAGGACACGACTTTGTTTCTGTTTTCATTTCCCATCTCTCTGCATAGTAACACCTAGTCAACGCTTGCTGCTGGCTGTCTGACTGACCAGCTTTAACCAGAGTCAAAAATATTGTCTCAGAAAACCTCTTGAGAGGTTGTGTGGATTCAGACACTGACTGTGTCTGACTGTAACATTTCAGTGTTTTGAAACTCTAGACTCTTGTATGGAATAAGCATAGAGCTAATTCTTAGTTAGAAACAGCAGCCTAATGCCCCTCCCCCAACATGTTGTCTCTAGTTTCATTAGCCTGTGTTCACTGAGAATTGATTCTGTTCATCTCACTGTTTTGTGTAATCAGAGAGGATGTGGAGTGATTACGATCTGTGTATCTAGAAGAAGCTTTAGAGTTCTCAGTTACTAGGTTTCTGTCTCTAGACCTGATGAAGCCACTGGAACACAAAGTTGACTCATTGAGAACATGCATTCATGAGATTGCAGCTTTCCCAGGCCTTGCTAGCTGATTTAGTCTCTCGTAATCCTGATATTTTCATATTGTCACATAAATCTAATATCATATCTATTTTCCTCAGATTTTCTCTTCCTTAAAAGAATGTTAAAATAATCAGCTCGGACGCAAAGCCCGTATCTTCAAAAATATCAGTTTAGCCAGTATTTACTTCTGCTTTGAGACATGGATGAGAACCTTAAGGTTTTACTTTCTCAGACCGCAGGCAAATATGAGTGGGTGATATGGGAGTGTGGATCTCAACAGGCCCAGCCTGGGGGATGGCGTGGTGGGAACCAAAGGACAATGTGGCCTTTGAAAGAGTCCCACATGAAGTTCAGGTTTAGCTGGGTCTATGCTTGCCTGAAATATCTGGGCTTAGAAACCCAAACAGTCATGTAGCCAAAGGTATGATCACTCAGGCAGCAATGTTCATAGACTGAACTTCTTCTAGCAGCTGTAAACTGAGCTTAAATAAAACTGTGACATTCAAATCTAAGATTTAGCTAATCTCAACCGCCTCTGCTTTGCCACAAAGCTACTACATCCTAAATATAGATTATACTTTAATACACATGCTGAAATAAGGAAAGGAGACATTTTCCTGCTCTTCCTGATTACTGTATAAAGTGAATTACTTATTTTGAGCCCCAGAGCCCTCTTGAGCAATTGCAAGGGCCACGTGGAACTGAGCCATACTAGTATTTGTAATGCTTCTTGCTAGTTTGTGATTTTCAGAGAATCTGATGGGATTTGCAAGGTCACTAAGTAGTCTGTAGCCATGGTGTCTATGAGCACACAGCAGAAATGGAATCTATTTGCACCAACCTAACTATAGAGGAAGCAGCATAATATGGTATAGGGAAAAGAACTCTGAGACTTGGGGGCCCCCACTCTGCTATTAATGGTCCCCATGATCATAGGCAGTTGCTTCCCTGCTCTGGGCTCAGTTTCCATTTGTTTAAATAAAAACACTGAACCAGACACTCTTCACGCACCCCTTTTAGATCTGTCATATTATGGAGTCTAAAATATTTTAAGTAATATATTTTTTATCTATGAGGTTATTTTCTTTTCCTTTGTATTATCCTCATATGCTATCTTGACTTTTTTGTGGTAAAACATGCAAAACATAAAATTTACCATTTTAACCATTTTTAAGTGTACAGTTTAACAGTATTAAGTACATTCACATTGTTGTTCTGCCATCCCCTCCATCCATCTCCAGACCTTTTCATCTTCCCATACTGAAACTCCATTCCCATTAAACACTGACCTTCCATTCTGCCCTTCCCCCAGCTCCTAGCAACCACCATTCTACTTTCTATCTCTATGAATATGACTACTCTGGGTACCTCACATAAGTGGAATTAGATAATAGCTGTTCTTTTGTGTCCGGCTTATTTCACTTAACATGTCTTCAGGGTTTATTTAGATCGTAGCATGTTTCAGAATTTCCTTCCTTTTTAAGGCTGGATAACATTCCATTCTATGTATATAACATGTTTTAACCATACTGACTTTAAAATTCACATGATTCAAAACCATATGGAAAAAATGGTTTAAAGCAAGTTTTAGATTTTTTTTAAAACCCAAACACCAAGAAAAGGGAAAAAGAAAATCAGGTAGTATGTATAACATTGCAGTTGGAAAAACAAGAAAGTAGAATGGTTATTTTTCAGACACAGTTCTTCTCAGTAAATATCCTAAATGTAGCAAGTGTTTTTAAACACTCCTTTAAAAAAAATAGATTGATAAAATTCAATACCTACAAATTATAGATTAAAATAAACCTTAACAAACTAGGAATAGAAGGGAAATTGTTGAATCTGATAAAGGGTATATATAAAAACTTATGAGAGGGTATGGATTACATGGGTAAATTCATTTGGCAAAATTGTACAGTTAAGAATTGTACATTTTAATGTATGTATATTTTACCTCAAAAAAATTAAGTGAGGGATAGGGAGTGATCATAGCAGGGTTTCTCAACTTTTGCACCATTGACTTATGGAGCCAGAGAATCTTTCGTTGTGGGGGCTTATACTTTACAAGTTGTTGAGCAGCATCACTTACCACACTACCCACTAGTTGCCAGTAACACCCTTCCAGTTTTGACAATCAGAAATCTCTCTAGACATCACCAGATATCTGGGTGGGGATTGGGGTAATGGACCAAATCACCCCCAGCTGAGAACCACAGGATTTAGAAGCATAAGTGAAATAAGATGAGAATACCAGAATGCCTTTGGTGGTTGCAGCTGGGTGATAGATGCATAAAGATTTATGATACTATTGTGTTTACTTCATCTATGTTTGAAATTCTCCATAACAAATTCTAAAAGATAATAATAGTATCCACACCCACATGTATTCACTCATGTGTAATCCGAAATAAAATTTTATTTGGGGATCGACACAAAACTTTCATACTTTTGCAATTAAACTTCCTTCTAGATTTTCTCATTTTAGAACTTGAGTTAGGAAAGTTAAACTTTCTCCTTTCTTTTTTTGAATGCATGTGCTTCTGCCCAGATAGTAGAGCTTTCTCCGTTTCACACATCACTTTTTTCCTTCTAAAGAGCTTTTTGAATCTCTTATCTACCCAGCCGCTCACTTTTCTCTGTCTGATTAAGCTCTGGCCCATCTTGATTTCTATGAGACCATCCTTTCCACTGAGAGCTCAAAGCCTCTTCTATCACTCAGTCAAAAAAGGTCCTCTCTTTTCATGCCACACAGAGCGAGGAGACAGGCTCAGCCATGCTCTAGAGGCATTTACCGCCATCAGCAAGGTCATCCAGGACCTGGAGATGGGAGAACTGAACAAGCTTACGAAATAAACGCATCAGTTAAAGAAAAAAAAAATGACAATAAACATCATGCTTAATGGTCAAATATAGAAAGATTTTCTCTTAACATTAGGAATAAGACAAAGATGTCTGCTATCACCATTTCTGTCCTACACTGCCCTTGAAGTCCTTGCCAGAACAAT